TAAATTTGACAATAATTACTAATTATTGTCAAATTTCACACAATATTATCATTTATCGCAATAATTTCTGAGACAATTAATTGCCCAGCAAAATTCGTGACAGGCCTAACAGTAATATTGTACTTTATCACTGCATTATAAGTATCTACAACTAATATTATAGCCTAAAAAATTAGGTTTACAAATGCTTATTGTGCTTACAAGGTAGTAACTTAGTCTGAAATGTTTAATATAACAACTCTAGATGAAATATATATGAACAGATTTGGCTCACTATTTGTCAAGAAACTGGTCAGTTTTGTCTCTTGTCACCCTTAATTGATGCATACTAAGCAGTTATTAATGATTTATAAAGTGTTTATAGAGGAATTAATAATGTATCTGTGAACTATTAGCCATCTATAAAAGGAGCCTTATTGTAAAGTGGTACCATGTAGGGGAGCGGACGAGTATAACCAAGTACTGTAAATAATTTTACCATAATCACATACAGTATGACCTGTCCTGTCAGAACTTCTTCTTTATTAGAATAAAAAAATGTTCTCGCACACAGTAAAGACCTGACACTCACACTGACACAAATCCACTGAAACACACGTAAACATTTTCTGTCCTGTTTCATATTAATGCAAGGTTCCTACCCCGTCTTCAAAAGTAGAGGATTGGTCTTTAAGATTTTCCAGGTCTGTATAAGTTTGGGGGCCGGGGATAGTATGGATAAACATTAGTTTCCTCTGGTTTGTTTGCGGCTCCTCGGACTGATGAAGTCCTTTGAATGAAGGACGAAACATCTCAACAAAAAATAGAAACCGTCCAGATGACCTGACTGAACTTTGTTGGATTTTTGACGTGGATTATTGAGCATGAACTTTGATGTTTTGAACCACTTTGGCCATGACTGCCTCAGAGGAGTTGAAGGGGGAGAGGGCGGGCCCCAGAAACCATCTTATCACCATCAAACTGGTTGGTCCACTATGGGAGTGGGCTGCTTGTGGGACTAAGTATGACTGTGGCTCCTCGGACTGATGAAGTCCTTTGAATGAAGGACGAAACGTCTCAACAAAAAAAGAAACCATCCAGATGACCTGACTGAACTGTGTTGGAAAAACATGAGTGTTTCCAGACTTTTACTTAATGCTTAACATTTTCTTTAAAAAAACATAATAATTACACCTTAGCAAAGGCTCTTGTAAAAAAAAAAAAAGTATATAAAACATTTTTAGTATTCAGTCTGTCCTTTTGGGGTATTAGGATTCTGTACAATTCCCTTTAGTCGAGGCAGATTTTTACTGCACATATTTTTCTTCTCAAAACTTGCAATGAAACAAAAGTATTGAAGAAAAAATGCACATTTTGTCCCTTTTGATGCTCACAAGGCCCATTGCAAAGTCAACAAGGGAGTAATTATTATTAAAAGAAAAAAAACTTGCATCTAAAAATCTTACATAAGTAAACGGATAATAAAACAACACTGCTACACAAACGGTAAATTACAGTATGTTTATAGATGTTTTCATGTAAAAAAAAATCAATGAGAAAATCTAAAACCTTGAGTCTGGGGAGAAGTCTGGAATATTAAAAATGTAAAACGTGTAGGAACCCTGCAAATGTATCTTCTTTTTATTTCAGTTTTTTTAATGTTTGTGTTGCTTAAAGTGAAATAATGAACGTCTCAGAAAGAATATCTAAATAAAAATAGGTCGGATGCGTGTAGTTTATCTGTCTGTTCTGTCAGTACAGTTTGTGTTATCTTGGGAGTATTTAACAAGTTCATTGTTTTTTCCAACTAATCAGTCAATCATACATCATGAATCTTTCCACAAGCAACAGTTCTATTTCATCCCTCCTGACCGCCAGAGGGCGGTGCTGAAAGCACTGAATGTTCCCTTGGCACATGCGCTGTTTGAGTAGTAATATCAACGGAGTCACAGGTGGGACACGGATTACCAATCAATGGCTATATAACCTGACGCCATCCGCAGCTCTACTCCTTTTTTCTTCTCGCGCGCGGTTCAATTCAGGGCTTCAGCCCTTTGGACTTTTGAACTTTTCACCGTCGTCGGAGGCCCGACTGCCCGTTGGCGGGAGTAGCGTGTTCGCCCTCCTAGGGGCTGCGGTGGTTTAACTCTGTTCAAAGGTATTTCTGCTGTTCATTGGAGTCTACGGTGGTTTCCGCCCCCCTCCCAACTTACAGCTTCTGACTACTATGTGTGTGATTCAACACCAGTGAGTAGTATTTTTTATATTTCGCCATTGGCTAGCGGTAGTGTTCGCTCCACTCCCGTTTGTTGGAAGCCTCCAACCGCGTGGTCGGTTGGACTGTGCTCCGAAATTTAATTAAGTAGCCAGCTGAGTTTCTGGCCTTGTTTTCATTGCACCCTCTCCCCAGTTATTTTCACCAACCTCATAGAAGGTTGGACAGAGCTAGGGGTACTAGCCTCTCTACGTTCTGGCCTTGTTTTCATTGATGAAGGCTAGCATGCATGCCCCCTCTCCCAATTCTCGGCCTATCCTTTCGTCCTTGTTTTCGCCCTGTATCCTGGCCGTATCTGGCGGTGCCAGCCCCTTTGCTGAGTTGCAGTTTTTCACTTGAGTAAACTGTCTAAAGTAAGGAGCATGGACGGCACTGCTGCACAGATTGTGGGGCCATGCTCCAAGCAGATGACGGTCACGACCTATGTCCTGCCTGTCTTGGACATGACCATCTGGTGGAGGCCCTGTCGGAGAACCCCTGCATGAACTACAGCTTTATGCCTCGTGCTGTGAGGGTGGTTCGACTGGCCCAGTTTCGCCCCGAGCTCGGCAGTGACCTCCCGCCTTCAGGGCAGGAGGCTCCACCTAGGCGCTCGAAGCGCCGGTCTGACGCTGCAGTCTCTTTGGCGCCTCCAGCAGCAATCAGCTTTAGCGATGCAGCGCTTCAGGCCTTTGCACTCATGACGAGGGAACTTGGGCACGTGATGTCCTTCTTGGTCCAGGCTCGCCGACAGGTCTGGTTGGTGCAGTCAACATTGACCGAGCCATGTCGTAGAACCCTCCGTAATGTCCCGGTGGTGCCGGGGGAGTTGTTCGGTTCGGTTGCCTTGGAAGTGCTGGAACGGACCGTCCAAGCATGACAGACAAGGAAGCCGCTTTCGAGCCTTAGCAGGGCGATGCCCCCTCCACCTCCTCAGCATCCAAGGTGCCCGTCTGCTGATCCCAGCATTCGGCTGCTGCCTCGGAGTCATAATCGGCCAGGTGGTCTTTGCCCTCATGCGGTTCAGCAGAGACCCAACAGGAGCTTTCGTGAGTCGGTCCACCAACCAGTTGAGCATGTTTGGACCAGGGACTCTGGCTGCCACCCCTCACGGCGGGGGAGGGAGATGGTGATGCCACCAGGCCAACCGTCAGATATTTCTCCCACCAGCAGCCCAGTTACTGGGCTGCTCATGTTTGTTCAATTAGCTTTGTAGAGATCTATTAGAGTGCTGTATGAATGGGTAAATAAGGGCACAGATTCTAGTGTAAAGTACTTTGAGTATCTTGATCAGATAGAAAGGCACTATATAAGTACAGTCCATTTACCATTTAAAGTTTATGTAGCGGCAATATCATCTAATCACACAGGCATTGATGGCTGTACGGTGGGGAGCCATAATCTAGTCTCCCTTCTTCTGCGTGGTGCCGTAGGTTGCACCCGCTGACAGCTCCACGACCACCAGGTTGGGATCTGCCGTTATACGACGTTCAGACCAGCTGTTTGTGTGTTACGGAGGCCCTAGCTTAGGCTATCCTCTTTCCAAACAGCGCCTCTCCCACTGGATCGTGGATGTCATCTGCCACCCTATGCTGCAGGGCACAGCCCCCTGCTGGTCGGCGTGAAGGCACACTCTTACCAGGAGCGTTTCCGCTTCCTGGGCTGCCCTGAGAGTAGTTCCGCTGGAAGCAATATGTGCTGCTGCATCATGGGCTTCCCCAAGCACATTCACCAGAGTTTACAGCGTTAACGTGGCCACCCCTCATCCCCTGGGCCAGATTCTTCTGCAAGGGACTTCTGGGCCTCCTCAGTGAGGTGTGTGCTCAGGATTCCTTGTGACATAGTTGGTATTAGTCATTCAGTGCTTTCAGCACCGCCCTCTGGCGGTCAGGAGGGATGAAATAGAACAAAAGTTGCGTATGTAACTACGGTTCTATGAATCCCGGATGACCGCCAGAGCTTCTCTGTCACTCAGAATCCTTGCGTCCCGCGAAAAGATTCTGTAGAAGTAGAGCTGCGGATGATGTCAGGCTATATAGTATCTGGTCATCCGTGTCACACCTGTGACTCCATTGATATTACTACTCGAACAGCGCATGCGTGAAGGGAACATTCAGTGCTTTCAGCACCGCCTCTGGCGGTCATCCGGGATTCATAGAACCGTAGTTACATCTATAACTTTTGTTTCCAACTAACACAAATTTTGTGATACTTATAGCTTAATTTTTGTCTTTTTTTTTTATCAAATCCAACTTTTAAAATGTTAAATGGTGTAAAATGTAAATAAAAAAAGAATGCAATGATTTGCAAATCTCCTAAACCCATGTTTTTTTTCACAGTGGAACTTATTAAACATTTCAAATGTTTAAACTGAGAACTTGTACAATTGGGGGGG